TTCTGATGGCAATTCCAAACCTGACGATGATTGGATTTTTAATATGATTTGCACTTTTCATATCTGTCCCAGTTGAAATTTATTTTTTACATATGAAACGGTTTCGAAAGGTGTGGTAATTGGTAATAACACACCTTATAGAATATTAGGTATTGAAAGGGTCAGAATTAAGATATTTGATGGGATTGTTAGAGCACTTGATGATGTAATATATGTTCTAGATTTGAAGAAAGATATTATCTCCTTAAGTACTTTTGAATTGAAATGATACAAAAAAGTGAAGTTATGAAAGTTAGTAAATGTGTCCATATTGTGATGAACGGACAGAGAAAGCCCAATTATATGTCTTTCATGTTTTTACAAATTTTTTGAAGATCAATCAGCAAAATTTAGACACTCGGGAGGATTTTGAGTTTGGTTCATAATGAAGAGAAATTTTCTATGCTTTTTAGCTAGCGGCTTCTAGCTTCCTGCTTGAGCGCGCAAAGTAGGGAGCTAGCACCCGCTTGACACCAGCCGCCATTCGAGAGTTTGGAGTGGCACCCGTTTGGCGGATACCAGGGGCTCGTGCGATGGTATCATCCGGCTCAGGCCCGTCTCGCTTTTTTGACGCGTTTTCAACATTTTTTCATCTATAACTCTATTTTAGGGTTTGAAACATTCTCTATATATAGTTAGCACTTCATTGTGATTTAGACAAGTTAGACAAATTTATAAATACAATATTTTTGTATTATTTCTCCATATTTTAGTGATTTCTTCTTTTTCGTGTTAATTTTTTTTTTTTTTTTGTTCTTGTGCACTTGTGATATTTAGTTGATATTGCACCATATATTTATCCTCATATTACGACAATCTCTATATAAAATGCATTATGTTAGTCTACATATGTGAACCACCCTATAAGATATTTCCAATGGTCAAAAGTCATCTCTCTCTCATCACACTTGAAGGAAGATTAGAATGAAATTATTACCGACAACATTTATTTAAAGATTTACAGTGTGGTGCCAGCCAGGCTTTTGTTTATAGTATTTGGCATGTGTTTTTACCGTCTTTTGATTCTCATCTTCAACGGTCAAACTTTTTATTGCATTCTTCGAGACATCAAAATTTTCACACTTGCGTCTAGGGATGGCAAAAAAGCTCGGCGGCTCGGACGGCTCGGGCTCGGCTCGGAAAAAGCCC